ACACACACACACACACACACACACACTGAACTCACTGCCTTTGAGTCCACTGTGACTCTTAGTGACCTCTCATTGGGTTTCTGAGGCAGTATCTCTATGGAAGTAGATTGTTTAATCTTCCTTCTGAGGAGTGGCTGGCTGGTTTGAACCACCCACCTTCTGGTTAGCAGTCAAATGCCTTAGGTACTATGCCACCAGAGCTCTAACTGCTGGCTGAGAAAGTTGTGCTGCTGAGAGAAATGTCCTGGCGAGAGAGACCTGAGAGAGATGCCCTGCTGAGAGACAGCAGGCTGAGAGACTGAGCATGTTCCTGAACTTGATTTATAGCCTGTTGCTCATAATCAACCCCATAATCTGTGAGTTCTGTGTGGCCAGTGCAGCAAATTATCAAACCCAGCAGAGGTGGTGGGTGTTGCAGGAGGAACGGTTGGTGTCAAGGTTAGTAAGAGGGCTGGAGGGTGGCAACATGTCTGGCCTCATAAGAATATGCCTTGGGCTGCTGATGATGATTCAGTCTGTGGAGTTAGAGGAGTTAGAGGTGGTCAGAAGATGCCACATCCCTGTCTCAATGGCAAAGCATGCCCCATAGTTATGAAGGCAAAAACCACTCTTCATTTGTGTGTGGGATTAAGTGTTCTATAATATCAGTTTTCCACAACTATACAGGGCTTAAAAAACAGGAAATAATATATGATATATACATTGAATCAGACAATGAGAAATTGTATCTTTTATACTCTTTACACCATGCTAGAAACTGGCATCAACAATTATAATAGTGAGCTCTGCTCTCAAGGAAATCTCAGTACAAGTCTTCATAAACAAGTGGCATCTTTTATTACGTCACATAAAAAGAAAGTAATTTACCATTTTCTGAAGCAGCAATTGTGATGTTGTGCCATGGTGCTTCTTCTCGGTCAAGAACTTTTGTAGTCTTTATGGTTCCAGTATTGGCATCAATGTTAAAAAATCTGTCATCTTCAGCATTGTAGTCAATGAAGTATCTAGAAGAAAAAAAAAAGAGAGAGAGAAATAAAGTTCTTTGTACTTGATTTGATACTGAAGAAGACACATTGAACCAAGGCACTCATTTAATTAAATGTATTTTTAAATTTAAAGGTATATTTTTTTATTTCAATATTTGTCTAAACAAGAAGTACATGGTACTTCTGTAGAACTCACCTCTATTTATTTTACCTGTAAATCTTTAATTAATGATTGGCTCTATTACTAATTCAAAATATAAACAAATTTTAAAAAATTTACCATAGTCTATGAATAAAACTAAATAGTAGAAACATGGTGATTTCCAGGGCTCTCTCATGTTAGGCTTGGCTTGTGAATTACTCTCACAATAGAATGTGGTGAAAGCAATGGATTCTAATTTCTTGCCTAGGTTTATGAGGTAGCATGTTTCTTCTATGTTCTGCCACTGCCACAAGGTGAACAAACATGGCCCATTCCGCTGTTCCCAGGAAAAAGGATGAGAGATGGATGGAGTAGGGTTGTCATAACGGAAGTGTCCAAATGTAGACCAGAGCTCCCGAGTCAATGAGCAAATGCACCATTGAGCATATCAGAGCTGCCAAAGACAGCCTACCTAGTTCAGCTGACCCTCAACTCACTCAGACACATGCACATGTACTATGATTATATATGACATTTTTTAGCCAGACCTGCTTTTTACAGTTCTATGTCATTCAAGAGCTAATTGAAATAAATATGAATAAATAGCATAATACACAATCCTTACATTTTGTCTAATTACCGTAGACTACTTAAGGAGAGAAAGGTGTTCTCTTGTCTCCTTAATACTTCTTCTTCCCTCTTTCTTAATTCCAACCTAAATAACATACCTTCTAGGTGAAATATTAAAATGAACTGATTTTGAGAAAAATGGTGGGGGAAGAACATTTGAAATAGAGGGAACCAAAGTGCAAATTTTAAATCAAAGGAAAGCCTTGACTTAGTCAGAAAACAAATGTAGGTCAATATGGCTCTACAGAGCGAATAGGGTGGATGACCAGGAGGCAGGTTATGCAAACACTGCTTAAGCAAAAACAGGGAGAAATAAAGACTTTGACATGCTATGATTTAGATGCCATTTAAATAAACATATAGCATGCGATGCCAAGAATCAGATATGGACGTGATGCTCAAGAGTGCTTTCTGAACAGACAATGTAAATCTGAGGTAAATCAGCATAAATTTAAGGTAATGGCAACAGTACGATCTTAACAGGAGATAGAATAGCGAAAGAAACTAAAGTGAATTGCACTCTGAAACACACCAACATGTTGTATTCTGAAGCAGCCCAGCATCTGAGGAGGAAAAGTGCATCCCCAGGAGCAAAAGAAGAGAAATATCCTCAGGAAAGAAGAAAACTGAGGAAAGGGTTTGGAAACCAAGACAGGAGAATGTCTCAAGGAAAGAGTTGGTATCTGCAGCAAAATCTGCTAGGAGTTACAGTGCAGTAAACCAGGTGCCAACTACTTGAGTCTGACTCATGGTAACCCCATGTGTGTTAAAGAAGAGATATGCTCCATGAAGTTTTCAGTGGCTGATTTTCTTTTTTTTTTTTAAAGTATATCACAGGTCTTCCTTCTCAGGGCTTCTGGGGGGCTTGAACCTCCAACTTTTGGTTAGCAGCTGTGTGCTGGGACCACTTGCACCACCTAGACATTCTGGAGTGAGGTTAGTGAACATTGATTGGATTTGGCAAGATGGACGTTATTGACTAACTTGGCAAGAGTAGTTTCAATAAAACAGCACAGGATTCTAGAATATATTGAATGTAAACATATGAATCATATGACTGATGACAAAGTTGAATAGATATGGAGAGTGACAATAAGAGAAATGGTATATTAGGTCATCAGATAAGTGGATTCAACAAGAATTTTTTAAGGGTGTGGAAAATAGTAATCACTGTCTTTGCTGAAGAAAAATGATATTTTAAAACAGGGAGAATATCTAAAACAGCCAATCCCATGACAAGGTGAGGACTGGGCTCCAGAACACAAATACAGTAATTTTGCATTGAAAGCAAAGGGACACTCCCTTTACTATCTCACACACACACACACACACACACACACACACACACAGAGGCTCAGAAGTTGACTAAAGATAAATACTAGTTAAGTGATTGCAATTAAAATATTGCTTAATTTATCACACTTTCTATGATAGAGTATAAATGTAACTGCACTACAACTCTATGCATCACACAAGACATAATGTGTTAATAGAGTAGGTGGGAAATATTGCTTAAGTGTGAAATCTTAAAATATTCTGTGGTACTACTGCACATATATGGCTAGAATTATTAATAGCACAATATTAACTGTAACCACAATTACTCCATTAATTCTAGGAGCTCATTAAGAGATAACCCCCTCCTCCACCATTGAGCTGTTCCCAGCCACCCTCTAAGACAGAGTATAAATGACCCATATGGTCTCCAAGGCTGTGAATCTTTAAGGAAGCAGACTGCCTCATCCTTCTCCCATGGGTTTGAACCATCACACTTTTGGCTACCAACCAAGTGCTTTTAACCACTATACTGTGAGAACCCCTTCATTTAGAGAAAAGAACACATAAAAATGAGGCAGATTACATCACTTGTGATCAAAACGAGGAATTGAATACTGTGTCATGCATGTCCTGACATCATCTATATATGGAACATGGAAAAGAAATTTATAAGAAAACGGTATAGGCATAAATTAAAGCTTATTCAGAGAAGAGAAAATAAATTGAGACACTACACTTTAGTCGGAGAGAGATATGCCTCCAGGCTTTCCCAAAGCCTGATGCCATGCTATTTTGAAAGTATTTTGTTTTGTTTGAGATGAGTCTACAAATAAAATAACCTACTGATAATGGCCATTCCCTAGAGGTCTAATGCTAATGACATGAATTAAATTGCTTGGGAGATAAGAGAAATCTTGTCACACAAAAATAATAACATCCTTCAAAATGTAAACACTTGGCAATCTCGTTATATATACCATCTAAAGTTAGTTGCCGTTAACTTGTTTTGAAGAGACTGCTTGTACTGCTTACCTAGTGCCGCTCTGACAGAAATATACCAAAAATTGAATGGATTGAACAAACAGGGGTTTATTCTCTTAAAATTTTGAAGGCTTTAAATCCAAGTTCAAAGTGCTAGGCTCTAGGCGCTGAGTGAGTAAAAGCCCCTCAACCTTGGGCTTCAGCTCTGTGTTCTGCTTCCGGCTCAGTGAAGTTGGGGGCTTTTCTTCACTCAGACAGCTGCTGGGTGCTGACGCTGACAAGCCCAAGGTTGACAAGTAAAAAGACACAGTCCCAATGTTACTAAACAACATGGCAGGACAATAATTGAAGTCTAGATGAAGTCCCAAGATTGGCAGGGCATGGCAGGTTGTTAAACAACGACTTGACTACATGCAGGGTACAAGTGTGCCAAAAAGTTAGAGATCATTCGCAAAGCTGTTTCTTACATACGGGATGCAGACCACATCCCTAAAGCAGCTACCCAACTGCTCCAATAGATTCCATCACGGAGTTAATTACCAATATCACCATGGGGAATAAATACATCTACCTGCCCAGTCACTCAACCAGGACCAGCCAAGCTGACACACCAAAGTAACTATCACACTGCCCATTTTGGGTTACTTCCCAAGAAAATCTGTTTCTGTATTTGAAAGTGGAAGCACCTGAAATTGAAATATATTCTTCAGCCTCAAAATTCAAGAAAGCGCAGATTATGTTGCTATCAGAAAATGCACTCTTATGATCCACGGCAGAACAGGCCTCATGTTAGAAATCTGATCACATCAAACCTGTCAGCCTGGTAGGAAATGGAGGTCTCTTCTCTGTATGAACTAAATGAAGAATCTGATAATCTGAAGTATTACTGGCAGAGCAATCATCTCTTTTTCAGAAATTTCACACTGGGCTTCCTAATGTTGATCCTAGCATTAGTGATCGAAACTTTCTAGAGTATATATGCTTCTTACCTGGATTTAGAAAAATAAATATTTTCTTAAATAATAAAAACTACTTTTAAATAACATAAATTATTTGTAAATAATAGAAACATGGTAGATGTAGTGATAAGATGATCTATGCATCCATTCTCAGATTTATGTTATTTTCTTCTTAGTTCTCTGTGAGACCTGCCTCTCCTAGGAAATTTACACCAGGAGGGTTGGATATTGTATGATGTTTGGATCCAAGATGTCATATTTATGGAACTGCAATTGAATTTTGACTCAAGTAGAACTAAATAGTTCTGCTTAACTACCCTTGGATTTCTGCCCAGGCATTGAAATAAAAACTCATAGAAATGGAAAATAGAAATATGAGGAAAAAAGAAACTATTTACAACTGTTTGGAGATAGGAAATGCATATCAATCTAGACTTTATTCTTTAAAATTAAGAAGTGATGTTGTTGTTGTTGTTGTTATGTGCCGTCGAGTCGGCCCCGACTCATAGGAGACCATAAAGCTGTTTATCAAACAAAGAAAAATGACACAGTATTGCCCATGTTTCTAATTATAGTCATTGCTTTTGAGTCAGATTCTACTCATAGCGACCGCTCCTTGGATTTGTGAGGCAGTATGATACAGAAGTTGATTGCCAATCTTCCCTTTGAGGAGTGGTTGGCAAGTTGGAATCGCCAGCTTTCTGGTTAGCAGTCCAGTGCCTTGGGCACTATGCCACTACGAGCTCCCATGTTTATATATATATAGATAGATAGATAGATAGATAGATAGATATAGATATATGTATATATCGCACCAGCCACTCCTCGGAAGGAAGGTTGGGCAATCTACTTCCGTAATGATACTGCCTCGGCAACCCAAGGAGGGGGTCACTATGAGTTGGGTCTGACTCAACAGCACATATCAACAACAACAATATATATTTTATATATATACAACTATATATATATATACATATAAATCCATTTTTTCCACAATCCTTCAACAATGAAGTGTAGCATATAATGTT